AGCCACATTTCCATGGATCCTTAGGTCCTGGGTCATTTATTTGGTATCAGTGATTTAATTTAAAGTCTGCCATGATTCATGCATTGCCCAGAGGCCTATCTCTGTCTGGAATAACATGGTCATCTATCATGCTATCCATCAGGCTGACCATGTGATGGACATTTATCTGGACCATGTGGCTTGCCAGAGGAATGGGCCGGAGGGCTTGTAGTGGATATGTAATATTCACAATATTTTGACTAAGAGAATCTTTTGCTGATGGTACAGCTTAACAGACATAGAAAGCTGGACTCTGACACTCTCTTTCTCTCTCTCTCTCTCTCTCTCTCTCTCTCTCTCTATATATATATATATATATATATATATGTGCTGAAATGTTTGGTTTGAATATTACATTCTTTTTTCATGTAGTCCTCTCTGATGAAAATGTTTGAGCCTAGAGGTAGAATGTATACAATGACGAATCCTGTCCTGTCTTCCTTCCCTACCATACTGACAAGTCAAGTGTCTACATTGACCAGTTCAGTGTCTGCATTGACCAGTCCGGTGTCTACACTGACCAGTCCAGTGTCTGCATTGACCAGTCCGGTGTCTACATCTGCAAAGCCAGATCAAAATGAAAAGGTAACTTATCTGTATGGACTTGAAATTTTGTTGTTTCTCATCTCTCACATCTGCTTGTTCTCATTTTTCAGCTCGTTATAATTACAACCATTGTTGACAGTTATTTTATACTTCCTGGTCTTTTTTCATATTTCTAACTTTCCTCTCCTAATCAGAACAGGATTGAGCTACCCTCCTCATTTTCTGTTGGGGGGGCCTAAGAAATCTCGATGTTATGTGTTTACGTTTCATTTTTTCATGTGTTTTTCAACTTGAATCTTGCCCTACTCCCCAAACAGTGCATGTACCGTTAAAAATATGTTGCACATTTAAGGTTTTACATGTATATACATGTGATTTAAAAAGACCAAAAACTTTTTAGAAACCAGTGCCATCCACACTCGCAAAGCTGAAAAGGTGTTTCTCCAGTGCATTTGCCAAAGATGTCCAGCAGGCTGATGGATCTCCTGTGTCAAAACGTGAGTATGGATCTCGTGCTGATTGCCACCACTGAGGGCACCTGCTATAATACAGTGTGTCATCTGTTATGCCTCAACAAGAATACACATGCAGATGTTTTATTGTGTAAATAAAATTATGAGACGGTAATACACAATATTTTACTAAATCACTGATACTGACATTTGTACTGCATACACAATTATTAACTGGTAAATCATTTTTTCAAATAATATCTGGCAATACATTATTATTATGATAACACATTGCATCCTTACATGGAGACTTTTTACTGCTGTTCACCTGATGCTTCACCTGAGCAATGAGGTCACTATTAATTATAACTGACAGACTATTAATTATAACTGATGTATCCATGTATATTTTCAAGAAAGTAATACTAAGAATTTTCAACCAAAATGGCCAATATCAGCCTGAAAAAATGCCCCCTATACTGAAGTTGTGTTTTAGAGCTGTTTTTAAATGCTGATTTCATGCTGAAATGTTAACTCACACTTCTGTGGAAAGACCAAGGCCCATAATCCAGAATCTCCCTTTAGCGTTAAGGGAGACTTAAAGTCGACTTTATACGAAATTTGTATTCCAAGACCTTTCTTTATCTCACTTGAAAGGAATCACTTAACAATCATCCTTAGCAAAGGAATTGGTCATTTCTAGAATCTGCCTTTGCTTAAAGATTTCCTTTATTTTCAGCTGAGGATTCCCTTAAATGTAAGGTTGGTCTGGAGTAACTTTTAGTCTTCCTTAAGCAGCCATCGTGTACAGTTCTCTTGTGAAAATCAGCTCCATGGAGGACTATGTAAACCAACATGCCTACCTAAATTCAAAATCATTAAATTCAACTAGAAAAGTACTCTGAGAGCACAGATCTCCGCCAAAGCAGCAAAGACTCCACCCAATTTTCATTCTATAATGATTTAGTTTTTTTATTTTTTATTCTTGATTGATTATTGATCCGGATCACCACCAAAAACAAATCATCTGTTCCTTGGCCCACTTGAAAAAGGAGAGGCTAAAGTGTGGTCTTAGAATACCATTTCGTTAGGCCTTCCTTTACCAAGGAACACCTGATCAAAGGAAGCCTTTATAAAAGTTGACCTTAGGCCTATTTTAAGGAACATCTTGGAATACGGGTCCAAACCTTCAGCAGTTAAGGTGTAAAAATTGAACCTTGCTTCTGAGAATAAATCCAACTAAGAGTGAACTTTCTTGGTTGATTTGGCCATTTTGGAGGAACATTCTTGGTAATACATTCTTGATATTATCTACACTGGAAATATAATAATCTTCATAAAATTAATTGGTGTTCATATCGTTCTATAGTAGCATACTCACAGGTGTTATTTAAGGATTCTCATAGGTGTATGTCCACTATGTTAAAAATAATATGCAGGGGCGGATACAGAGCTATTTCCTGACAGTCTTCCATATTATCTTTATTGATCCATCCTCCAATTTTGACCGTCTTCCAACAGAAAAAAAGATACCTTTTAATGTAAACTTGAAAATCTGACCGTCTTCTGGAAGACCCAGAAGACGGTCTAAATCCGCCCCTGATATGCAATTTTCACTCCCTGCGTATGAATGAAAAATTTGTTTCTTTATTTTCAGAGAGATGTCTTGATAGTTTTGTGTCACTGCACAGTTTCAAGTCTAAAACTTCCTCTGAGAAAATTCTTAACCAAAGTGGCAATGGTCTTCATCTTAAATCATCACCAGACTCTGCATTTGCTTCACAGGAAACTTATGCGAGTCAGATTTCAGATGGAGCAGATTCCGAGTCAATATCAGACATCCACATATTGGAGGATTCTGTGTCCCAAGGACCGCCTTTCAACCATTCGTGGAACAGAATGACAGAAGACGATGATTCGCCTTTAAATGTTGTAGATTCTGATAGTTTAACAACATATGGTCAACATAATGATAGAGACAGTTGTGCAAATAATATTTATCTAGGCTTTACAAATAAGACTTTAGAGTCAAGTTCAAATTCAAAGTCAGATTTTCACTTGGAAAACAGGACTAAGTCTTTAATTTTTCATGCTGAAGAATTATCTGATAGACAAATGGCAGATGATTCTGCAAGCAACTTAGGAGGGAAATGTGTAATATCTGATGGTGACATCAGTTCAAAACATTTACCATCTGCTATAAGAGAAGTTTTTTCATCAAACAATACAGTTAAAGATGGTGGAAATAGTGAAAGCGTCAAAGAAGCTGACAGTCGCCACAAATTTGATGAGACTGTGGCAGAGGGAGAGAATCTGAATAATATACAAGTGACACAAAAAGAAGTGGTCTGTATAGGTTTTTATTTATACATTTTTAATTTACATATTTCTTAATGAGATTTTTTAAATGTATGTAATATTTTGTTTTCTTTTGTTATTTGTGATAAATAGTGAAAAAAGCACAGGTAATCTCTTTGACTTATTGTCTGTCAACAGCACTGTATTTCATTTGATGGATATTAGGCTTTATTTATAAAACGTTTATTGGACTTTGTATGATTTATTGCAGGACCAGTTTGAAAGTGTGAAACGAAAAGAGCATGCTATTCCCTTCTCCATGTCTGATCTGAAGGAAATGCTACAGAAGAGAAGAGGTATAAAGTCTAACAAAATGTACTGTAGTTTTTATTTTTTGCTCTACGTTAATGAATTAAAGAGAACTTGTCATTTTGTAAAATTTATTTATTAATTCATTTATTTATTTATAGAATTGAGTAAAGAAGAATCAGGGGAGGTGTGCAGAAAGTTTAGAGCCACTATCTCTCCAACTGACAATACAACAGCCGAGGAAGAACTGAAAAAAGAGATAAGGTTATCATTTAGTTTTTCTTATATAATAAAACATTGCAAGACATTGTCAAGTAGATGGGAGATGGCAAAGTATTGCACATCTTAATGTCTTTTTCCATTAGCACATAGTAAGAAAATGTCTAATATAAATTTGGGATGTATTTATACACTGTCAAATGTTAATTGCATTTTATATATTTGTATAATATGAGCACTACATTTTTATAATGTACAGACACAGATGTGTCTGTACATATTGCCATCACCTGCGTCTGTCGTCGCCATCGCCGATGCCGATGCCGGCGCCGGCGCCGTGCACTTTCCTTGTAAACACGATAAGTGGAGGGCAGTTTTACTTTTGGGCTTAATATTTACAGAGCTGATGAATATTCATAAAACGCAGGTCAAGTTCGAAAATCAGCATGATCGGGCCATTATTGTAGAAGTTATGCTGTTTTTATGTACAGACACAGATGTGTCTGTACATA